CCTGGCTTCCTTCAAGGATGAACTGTGATTGGAAAAGATGCCATGCTTATGTAGCTTAGGAAAAGTGAAAATGTGCTGTTTTGTGTTGTGTGTGAGTATGTGGTTTGTGTGTGTGTGTGTGTGCGTTGCTGTGGTTTGAATCCAGGGCCTCACATATGCTAGGCAAGAGCTGTCCCACTGAGATATAATCCCCAGGCTATAAACAAGAATCCTAATTTTGAGGTAAAACTGATTCCTTTACTAAACTTGGGACTGAAGATGTTTGAGCTCTCCACTAGGTTTTAGAGTTTACCACCCATGCTTGAAGTACCAAAAGAATGAGCAAATCACCCATAATATTTTCTTTACATTTATAAATTTAGGTCAGTGGCAGAGTGCTTGCCTAGCAAGCTCAAGGCCCTGGCTTTGGTCCTCAGCTCCAGAAAAACAAAAAAGTAAAAGGAATAAACTGCCATCAAAGCTTAGGGACTGAAGAGGCATGACAGGCAGAGTTGCCACTTGGCAGTTTCTTGTGGAATCCTGTTTTGACTTGTGTGACTGTACTGTTTTAAAACCTTATTTGTAGACTAGAGATGTAACACTTTTATAACTTTATGTAAGATTTTAGATTTACAGCTATCTGATAACTTTTTTGAAATAAACAAAAATAACATTAAATTTTACTTTCCCAAGCTAAAGTTTTTGTTTGTTTGTTTGTTTGTTTTGTTTTGTTTCGTTTTTGGTCTTTTTTGAGACAGGATCTTCCTGTAGCCCCAGCTGGCCTGGAAATCATTATGTAGATCACGCTGGTCTTGAACTCTCAGAGATCCATCTGCTGCTGCCTCCCCAGTCCTGGGATTAAAGGCTTGTGCCACCAGGCCTGGCTCCAAGCTAAAAAATTTTTTAATGTTAATTAAAAAATTTTTTTTAATAACTACATGATTAAAAGAAGCATTTCATTACAACAGCATTAACCTATTCAATAACATTTTTCTGAGCTAGGGTACATCTCTTTCAAAATTGGCTGTACATTTCTAGGTTTACAGATGAATTATTACGCTTATATAATCTTTTACTCAT